AAATGAGACATACTATGCCCCTTTTTACAATATGTAATATAAGTCTCTGGTGTCCCCAGAATGTGTCTGTGAAGTTTCAGTTCAAAATACCTCACAAATATTTTATTATATCATTTTGAAAATGCCTATTTTGAGTGAAAGCAGAAAATCAATAAATCCACTGCTCTTGTCTCCTCTGAGGCTGGGACTCTAAACAGTGTTCTGTGCTCATCTGTGCAGCCAAAAACAGAAGAGTTAGCATGTTTTGCTCAAACTTTCGCCATGGTATTAGAGCTGGTATACCGTTGTCGCTTGCAAACGCACTTAAAACCTGGAAAAGTCAGATTTTCATGATATGTCTCCTTTAAACAATTTAACACAGTGTTTCCAGTTATTTAATGATTCCATTAACGATTCTTGTAGTACTTTAGTAATACTTTTTGTTCAGTACACAATAAAAAAATAAAAAACATTTTTAATATTGTTCTCTTTGTGAAATACCATTTATTATGACAAAATGTGTATCTTTAACTGTATGTTATGTATGAACCAATTATAAAGAATTACATCTTAAGAAGTTCAGTTCTCACTTAATTTTGAGTTTGACATGATGAAATTAATGAATGGTTCTGCAAATACCTCTCAGACTGATCAAAATCAATAACTCATGAGTTTGAAACTGATTTTGGAGTCTTTTAAGAAGGATTCATTAAAAAAGGCACTGACGTGACAACAAGCGAGCACATTGCAATAGGTAGATGTTTTGTTTATTTAGTATTTTTCAGCTCAGTCTTCACTTACAAATTAGCTTAAACTCTCTCATCCTCTGTAGATTCAGTAACCGCAAAAAATACATTTTCAGAGTATTTTAGTCAAGTATTTTAGGTACAATGTTCAGGAGCTGTTAAGGGGAGTGACAATTCATAAATTTTTTTAATTATAAAAAATGGAAATGGTTTTCAGTAGCCAACCATAAAGAACAGTCCTTATTATTAAAAACTTTACAATAAGGCTTCATTTGTTAACATTAGTTATTACTATATTAGTTAACATGAAATAACATTGAACAATACTTGTACAGCATTTATTCATTTTATTTTTAATCTCAACTAATACAAATACAAATACCTCTAAACTAAATAATATTAATAACTAATAATATTGCTTTCTCCAGAAATTTTTTTTTATCTGAATCAGGAGAGAAATATGCACAGATCAAACACCATGCACAAGCAAAAACAGTCCAAAACAGTTCTAAAAAAAGACAATAAGTAAATAAGCATCATCCACTGCTTATGATGAATAGATTAATTCAAAATGCATAATTTTGCATAATTTACCACAAAATATCACAAAGTTATAGTAACTGCAGATTTTTTTCCTCAGAAAGAAATAAGCTCCTCAGCTAGTTTGCTCATGTTAGTGCTAACAGAATAAACCTTACGAGTGCTTTATTGATTCCCATGTAATGCCACATCTTATGAAACCCCCCCCAACACTCAAACACAGTACCTCATTTAGCCAAAGGGCTTTGTTGTGGATAAACGGTTTCATTTGCACCCAAGAGCTGCCCAGGAATTCCCTAGCAATTTGCTCTTTGTTGTGTTAAGAGTAAATTGCAGAAAAACGTGTGTATAAAGTACACACTTGGCATTAGCGAGTATGCAGTTTCTCATGGGGAGTATTTGTTCTTGACAGAGGCTTTCAAGTGAAAGCCGTCCCTCGATGTGTGCATCTCAAAGGACATGGAATGGAATAAAGACTGTCCCTGGAGTGTCTCTAAAGAGACCGCTGCTATTGTCTGACAAATGCAGCTTGTTGCTCCTATTAATTCCCCAACAAGAGTTTAGAGGCGTCTAACCCTTCTGCAGTGCTGACTACAAAAGGTGAAGGACTGTGAAAAACTCAATTCGACCAAAAATGATGCTCATGCATAGAAATAATTAAAACAGTAGGAATAGTTTGGCCAAAAATGAAAATTAGCTGAAAATTTATTTACCCTCAGGCTATCCAATACATAGATGATAAGGCTGCACGATATATCGAAATTATCGCAATATCGCAAATGCAAATGAATGTAAACAGCGGAGAAAGAAATCGGGATATGTATCATTATACTGGATCCGTGCAGTCGGATTTAAAGGGGACAGTTGCCTATAAATACGTGCTGCTGAATATGCCACTAATGATAATCATCTCGTAAACGCAGTCGGTTATGTTTTAAATGAATGTAAACAGCTGAGAAAGAAATCGGATGTGCATCATTATATAGGATCCGTGCATCAGGTCTTAAAGGTACAGCAGCCTATAAATACCTGCTGCTGTCTTTACAAACAACAAAACACAGCTTTGACAAAGATCAGTCTATATTTAATGTATACAGTGAACACTATGCAGTGTTATTTTACACTTAATTATTAAATTTCTGTACCTGAATACTACTGTTTATATGATCTATGCTTGTAAATTGTGTATTTCTTTTTTTTTTCTTTCTTTTTTTTTTACTGACTGTTCACTTGCCTTTAATCATGTTTGAACTTTCTCAGGCTATAGTTTTTGCTGTGGTATATGATGAAGTACTTAAAGTGTATGGAAAGCAAAGTTACAATGATATAAAATTTGTTTCATTACATTTTTTTTGTTTGCATGTTCACACTGATGTTAAAATGACATTTTCTGATTTGTGACATTACTTTTTAAGTAATGCTAAAACACTGCTGGTCACTTTCAGAAGTTGTAGTGATTCTTT